AACTGTTCATTAATCATTGAAAGAGCTTTAGTTTTACTATAAGGTAAAGATTGTTGATCAGTAATATTTCGATTTTCTGTTCGATTTCCTTTTTCAATTGATTTATTTCTATTAGTTTTTAATGAATTTAAAATATTAATGGATGTTGGTAAATTAGTAAAAAATAATTGAGCTTGTTGAAGAAATGTTTGAGTAGAATCATTATTACGTAAACGAAATATTGATGCTGAATAAGGTCGATTTAAATGTTGTCGTGATCGATTAAATGTAACAACAACAATTATATTTAAATAATTAGGATGACGCCAAAAATAAAGTAATTCTGATTTTTTAAATATCCATGATTGATTTGGATCCGCTATATTATGAATAATTAACCCATCATCTGGTAATGATATTTTTACCTTCAAGCCTAACAATAGACAAACATAATATGATGTGTAATCATTGATGAATAGATATATATTGTCTGATTATATTATTATTATTTACTAACCTCGAGACTTTGTTTTCGATATAATATTTTCAACTGTTTGTTTTAATATACTTGTTGTATAATTTTCTAAATCAATACGCTCAAGAAAATAAGCGGTTGATTGATTTGATGATAATAATGAATTTGATACTAATGCTGGAGAATGTTGGATATCATAATTATTATTATTTAAAGGATAATTTGAATGTGAAGAAACACTTGGAACTGGTCGTATTAGAGATTCATCATGAGAACTATCACGATAATAACGACGATGACGCCCATAATTAGAAGTATTTGATTGTGGTTGTTGAGATGTTGGAGAATTATAGTATATATTATTCGACATAGTCTATAACTATCAAAATTCAAACAAAACACTACACTCGATTGATTACGCAGCCAATTTCATATTCATGAGTGCAATAAAAAAAAAAAAGAAAAAGGATTAATGATTAGTGTACGAAGAGGGTGACAACGATAAAAATGTAATTTATCAAGCATTACTGTTTATTGCACCAGGTAGAAGAAAAAAAGAAAAAAAAATGAAATAACCAAAAGAAGGAAAAAAAAGCCAATAGATAGGTGATGATCATTGGTAATAGTAATGATAAAAGAGGAAGGCTTGTTATTTGTAAAGTAACAACCATTTTTATTCATTCGTTTCGTTTCGTTTGTCTCATGGACACGCTCGAGTGAATGCTTTAGAGTGTCCCTTGAAAAGACTTTACCAAATGAAATTCAACTTAACCGAGACGACAACGACAACGAGTTACATTCATCGTGTAGTTTGCATATACATATACACACGTATGAATATATATATATATATATATATGCATAGATTGCATTATATTAACTGAATTGAATTTATCGAACATAGAAAAAAAAAAGATGATGAACATCGAGACCAAAAACCATATCTTCTATATTCTTTTGCAACCCTTAAATTTTATATAAATAACCGTAATATAAACATCTATGTATATACATAAATTTTTCATTTATTTTATATTCGATTTTCTTATGTTTCGGAGTGATGAGTAGATTTTTTGTCTTTTGTTAAATGGCTATTGTACGAATGTTGACAGTTTGTAGATGACGTATGCTATGTCATGTATGAAATTACATGTTGTGTGTGATGGATAAGGCAAATTATGAGATCAAGGAAAAAATGTCCGGCATATGAATAATCGAGACAAAGAAAATATAACTTAAAGATAAGCCAATAAATTATAACATATATTGATGTCTTACGTACTAACGAGAGTCAATAATTTAAAATAACCTTAGTTTAATCGTTTTTTTTTTTCTCATCACTATTAATCTGCATATCAATCAATGTATCTAGTAACCAGTAATAATAATAGAAAAAAAAATGCAGTAAACCAAAAAAAAAACAAACAATGATAGTGTTAACAAAATTTATGTAAAGTGTCGAAAGTTTCATTCTTGACAGATGGATAATAATTTTAAAGTTTTTTTTTATTAGTATAGCTTGTACTTCTTGTTGTTTTTTTTTGATAATATTCTTCTGATTAAAATACATGAAAGATTGATTCTTTTCGATTATTTCTTTCATGAGTACATTTTTTTATTACTTAACTTGTTCTAAAAGTTTTAGTCAAATTCAATGAGAAGCCATTAAGAAAAATATAAATATTTGTTATGTGTCATCGATAAGCAAAATTTATTGTTTTTTGAATAAATTTCCTTTTTTTTCACAAACATTAAACTTTTATGAATGAATTAACTGCCGAAGGAAAATGAATCATTGTTTGATGAATAGTTTGTCACTAGGACACTTACTCATGAAATTGA